GTCTTAATGCCTTCAAGCGGGAGTGTGTGCGAGCCGAGGTACAGCGTCTTCAAGAGCTAGGCCTCGTCGAACCCAGCATCAGTCCATGGGCATCCGCTGTTGTTCTAGTTCCAAAGCCGAATGGGTCAATGCGGCTGTGTGGATTATCGCAAGGTGATTGCTGTCACTGAACCCGATGGTTATCCCTTGCCACGCATCGACGACGTGATCGACGATCTTGGACAGGCAAGGTACGTGACCAAGTTGGATCTCCTCCAGGGCTACTACCAGATAAGACTGACTGAACGCTCCAGGGCCATCTCTGCTTTTGTCACTCCTGAGGGGTTGTACCAATTCACAGTCCTTCCGTTTGGTATGCGGAACGCCCCTGCAACCTTTCAACGCCTCATGAATTTCATCACGTCTGGTCTGGAAGGTGTCCGCTGTTACCTAGACGACCTTATCGTCTTCAGCAGTTCCTGGGAAGATCACACGAGTCGTCTACAAGCCCTCTTCTCCGTACTGGCTGCAAGCAAGCTGACGGTGAACCTCATCAAAACTGAGTTCGGCCATGCCCACGTCACTTTCTTGGGGCATGTGGTCGGACAAGGGGAAGTCCAGCCTATAGCAGCCAAAATTGAGGCAATTCAACATTATCCAGTGCCAGGCGATAAGAAGTGTGTGATGAGGTTGCTGGGTATGGCGGGGTACTACCGCCGTTTTTGTCCAAACTTCTCCTCCGTTGCCTCTCCCATGACTGACCTGCTGAGTGGCAAGAAAACCTTCAAGTGGACTTCGGCTTGCCAGGAATCTTTTGAGAATCTGAAATCCCTGCTGGCAAATGCTCCTGTACTACTTGCACCTGACCTCCAGAAACAGTTCACTCTCCATGTCGACGCCAGTGGTGCTGTGCTTCAACAAGAGGGTGAGAGTGATCAAGTGCTTCATCCGCTGTGCTATTTTTCTAGAAAATTTAACAAATATCAAAGAAACTATGCCACCATTGAAAAGGAGGCTTTATCACTGATCATGGCACTAGAAAACTTCAAAGTATATATTGGCAGCACTGCTTATCCCGTTCAAGTGTTCACTGATCATAACCCACTTACTTTTGTTGACAAGATGAAACATACCAACCAAAGACTTTTGAGGTGGGCTCTATCACTTCAGCCCTATAACTTGAACATTTCCCATATCCGCGGAAAAGAGAACGTGTTGGCTGATGCACTTTCTCGAGTCTGATTATTTAGAAACTATGTCTATATGCAAATTATTTTTTGTTTTATTGTCATTGAGTACCTTGTGTTTATATTATGAATTATTTTGCTTCATATTGATTTAAACTGATTGTGTTAGTTATTACTTTCACTGTGTAGCTGTATATCCATTTTCGCTTCCAGTTAGTTGTAAGCTCACTTTTTTGGGGGAGGTGTCACGTGCCTGAGCGCTCGGGAACTCGCATAGCGTGAGGCAGATGTTCACGCCTACATTTCACACAAGCTACTAACTTGTTAATTGTACTTATTATATTATTATTGTTCTTAGTTACTTAGGTTAATTGTATATTTATGTATGTTATTAATATGCATCATTGTGTTACTCTGTTAAGTCAAATCAAGAGTAGTATTAATTAATTATGTAAAATATCTAGCAAATGTCCTGGATCATGTGATTCGAGACGCGCTCCTCCACCGCGTGGGCACGCTTCCCCAGTAGCGAAAAACCATGACATATGGTAGACGTGTCCATTCGTTCTCTAGCCTTGACCCTTGTCTAGTGCCTTGTCCAGTCTTCTGCAATGCCCTAGGGGTATCAGGTATTAGTGACACGTTTAGTTAGGCCTAGGAAGGGATCCTGGTGGTAAGGAATCTCCTGTTTGGTAGGAAATAACTATTTTGTAGGGATTGTTGTATATATATATATTTTGTATGTCTATGTAATATAGTTATGTTAAGTAATAATCGTTTGGTCTAACTCCTTACGGTATATTTTCACCCTTCCGGCATCACTCTTATTTTAATATACAATCACTTATTCCCTTAAATTCTTGTTTGCTAGTCATTACTCCCTTTAGAACATAAATTGAATTAATTAATTATCTTCCCTTTTGTGATTCACTTATTTCAACTGTTCTTACTTATTCAAGTACATTTAGTTGAGTAGGTTTTTGTGGGGATAATTATTGCCGTGTTCCCTATTTGTTCCTTTATTTGATAATAACTTGGGGTAGGTTTCACTCCCCAGGTATATAGGGTAGTGGGATCGCGACACACTAAACTAAAGCAATGTATGACCCAACTACTCATGGCGCAGCCCCCCTCTGCTGATCCGACGGTAACTCCCTAATTAAAGACGAAGAAGACATCCATCAGTAAGCGCTGGAAAGAGTACTACCATTCCCTGCTCAACCGAAACACCGATGTGGATGTCCTTACTACCCAGCAGCTCCCACAGCCGACCCACCTCAGCTATCCCCCATCCCTGGATGAGGTAGCTGCTGCCATCAAACAGATGAAAAAGTAACAAAGACTCAGGGCCTGATGTAATCTCAGCCGGGGTGTATAAAGCAGGACCTCTGCTTACCAGCCGTCTCCATTCTCTTCTGAAGAATATGTGGGAGTAGGAGGAATTCCCCTAAGATCTTAAAAGACGCCTCCATCGTCAATATTTATTAGAACAAAGGAGACTGGTCAGACTATGGTAGCTACCGCGGATCTCGCTGCTCTCCGTACTGGCAAGATTATCGCCTGAGTCCTCCTAAACAGACTTCTTCCTGAGGCGGAAAACTTCCTCCCATAATCTCAATGTGGCTTTAGACCATCACGTAGCACCACTGACATGATCTTTGCTGCCCGTCAGATGCAGGAAAAGTGCCTTCATCAACCTATCCAAGGCCTTCGACTCGGTCAACAGAGAAGCCGTTTTGGCTGCCCACCAAAATTCATCGCTATTGTGAGGCAACTCCACGATGGCATGAACGGCAGTGTCCTGTGCAATGGCACCCAGTCTGAGTTCTTCCCTAGCCAAACAGGGGTAAAACAAGGATTTGTACTGGCAAAAACTCTTTCCCATTTTCTTGGATGCCTTCCTTACTCGTGCCAGTTCCAATTTAGGCGACGGGGTGGACATCCAGTTCCGGATGAAGGGAGTTTTCAACATAAGACGACTCCAGGAAGGAACAAAGATGCCGGACGCTTTCATCGCTGAACTTCAGTACGCAGACGATCTGGCTCTCGTTGCTCACACTGAATTAACGGTACTACCCTCTCTAATGTTGCCCAATTTCGGTACCTTTGCTCTCACCTATCCACCATCACGAACATCGATGAAGACATCCAACATCAAATCAGATGTGCATCTCAAGCCTTTGGCAGATTTCACAACCATGTCTTCAGCTGTAGGGAGCTTATATTATCTACAAAGCTGCAAGTATATCAATCAGTGGTCCTCCCCACCTTGCTGTATGGCACCTCAAGGCACTTTAGAACTTTCAACTACGTAGACTACGTTCCATCGTCTGGGTTCACTGGGAAGACAAAAGAACAAATGCCAGTATTCTCGATAACACCAACTGTAGGAGCATCGAGGTTGCCATTATCCGTGAACAACTGCATTGGACTGGCCATGTTACCCGCATGGACGACAGTAGACTGTCAAAGCAGCTACTTTACAGTCACCTAACGAATGGTTAACGTAATGCTGGCGGGCAACTGAAAAGGTATAAGGATAGTCTTAAGACATACCTGAAAAAGTGCCAAATCGACCCCCTCACCTGGGAGACGATCACTCCACATTGTAACGCTTGGAGGAGCACCACACGAGAAGGTGTTAATACTTTCGAGTTTGACCGACTGCAGACCATCCCCAGCGCCGAGGACGTTACCGCCGCCCCTCCCGCACTAGATGTAGCCCTCCGCACATGCAACATCTGCGGGTGGCCCTGCCGGTCTCATATCGGCATCTCGAGTCACCTTAGAGCTCACCAACGAAGGTGACATCCTTAAAAGGTCATATCATTGTATCATCGCCAGATGATCGTCATACTCGATTCCGAGTGACAGCAAAGTAGTAGTAGTAGTGTAGTACATGTGTGTTCACAAACAAATAAACTTCCTCTCATCACACACAAGCACCACATACCCCGAGACGTCACCAACAGCGGTTATATACCACAGTAACAAAGCCAACAACTAACTTTAAAACGAAAGCCTTAATTAAAAATTACAGTACAGGTAAGCTGGTAAAATTATCAGACAGGTGATACGTTAAAATTATATCAGTGGGTCCCATAGACATGACAGTCCATTTGGAACAGTGTGGCCGGCACCATTGTTGACCACCTTCATTTCCCCAGTCGTTAAGTTAGGTACCCATTTTCAGCTGGGTTGACAAAGTGTGCCAGGGTCGAACCACCGACAGGAGACGAGTGCTGTATCCACTCAGCAGCCGCACTCCTTGCACCTTAAATAAGCTTAAAGGTGTGCCTAGAATCTGCTAGATATGGTAAAGGGACGTAACTAATGCTTGCCAGATATGATTTGAAGTGTACATTTACCAACAAAAGTCTTGTCGCCTCACCTGCATTTTCATGAACCCAGATCTTCAGAGACCTCACAGGTCTCTGAAGATCTGGGTTCATGAAAAGGCAGGTGATGCAGCAAAAATTTATTTTTTTTATTGGCGAGTGTACCTACCATTACTAAATGTGATTGGGAATGCAGTTAAAATTACTAGATGTGATTGGAAATGCACCTAAAATTATTAGATGATTGAGAATGCACCTAAAATTATTAAAAGGTGATTGGATATGTACCTACAATTATTAGAAGTGACTGGAAATACGCCTAAAATTAATAAATGACAGGGAATGCACTCGTATATAAAACTTAACATAACTCAACCCGCCACCCCCCACACACACCGACCCTCGTGATCCCCAAGACCAACTCTCCCCTACACTCATAAGTCCTCCAAATATGATTGGAAATATACTTAAAGCATTACAAATCAACACTACTAACCCACACGAACAAAACAAGCTGCTTTCACTTTGTGTATTCTGGTATTGCACTATGGTGAGGTGGTTGTCAGGGGAGACGGTTCTGCAGTGCTGTGCGCAGGCGTTGACAGACCTGTTGGGCTCCTTCAAGTAGGTCACGTTATACGTCCTCTTTATATCAACCACCTGGAAACATCCAACAGACTCGAGGTTGTGAGAGACAGTTACCGCACGGTCAAGCTCGTACACACTAACGGCATTAGGACCTCCACACTGCTGCTTGCCGTCGGGGCACAGCCGACACGCGAAGAAACCGTTCATGACGTAGTCCTCGCTAGTGATGGCAGAGCGGTCGCCACAACCACATACGAGCCGTTCGTTCATTTCGATCATTTTGGTGAAGACGAGTTGGGTGGATGGCCGCAGCTGTAAACAGAGGGTTCCGCATGCGGCGGCCGACCTCTCAGGAAGGTCCCAATGGTGGATCTCAAGGTGGTTGAAATTAATGGGCCCAGGTTTGTCGCTGTAGCAATACAGAGGCTTGAGACAACATGAGTTTAACCCTGAGGCGCTGCTGCAGTGTGCAGACTCGCCTGATACACGAGTGTTGTGTCCAGTTTGTTGGAGTTGAAGAGGAACTGTTGCTTTGTGTTTACCCGAAGTCTTGATGTTACTTGTCAGGTTCTTGTTACTCGAATACACAAATGGTAGAGGAAATAGTTTACCCAATATTGATGCAACATTTTCTTTACCAAAATGAACGTTTTCTTCCATGATAATTGGAGAGACTTGTGTGTTAACAGAGTAATTTACCAAGCTATGCAGTTCTTCAGGGAGGTTAAACCGTATTCCCTGTAGCCTCTCCTTCACAAACTCGGGTACAGGAATAGCATCGAGAGCCTGAGGTCCTGAGGATGTTGGAGAATAGTCCTCTTCACCACAGACACTGTCAACATCCAGCAAGACAAAAACCAAAAAGAATAAACAACTCGCTTTCAGGTCCATCTTCAATCCTTTACGGTCAGGGAGTCGAGGCAGCTGGGACTGAACCGCCTTAAAACAACACAAAAACTGAGGCACTAAACGCTTACTACCATTATCACCTGGAGTGGTTTATAGACGTCATAAATCCTTTGATAATAATCCGGAAATTCCTGTTGCGTAATTTCACGTTTTCTTAACCTATTACGTCTTCACTCTCAGGTTTCTCTCTTATTTTCTTGTCAGACAAAACACTTAAATAACCTCAGAATTCGTCAGTGTTTTTTCCATTTCATCCTCAGCTCTACTCCTTAGATGTGATGTATACGATGAAGGTAACAACGCCACACTCACTCAGATTAGATAACACACAAGCTTCCCTTATCAGATGGCGTCACATGTAATCTCCGAAATTTATTTTATCAGGTGTGACTCAGTCCAACAGACCAGTGTTTGGGCTGACACTGACAACCATCTACTAACTATAGCGTCTGGGCTGACACTTTCACCACCACATATAAAATGAGACCAGGAGCAGTGTTGTGGTTCACGTTTCTACTTGCCGTCCACCACCTTCGAGGAGTAGCCGCCTGGCGCCTCAACTACCTCGCTTGTTACAATGAAGACTACCTCGACTACGCCCACCTGGAGATTTTTTTCCTTGATCTAGAGGAGAGATCCGCCACCGAGTGTGCCAGACACTGCCTGCAGCAGCGTCCCTCAACACAGCTGGTGATGGCCAAGATGATCCAACAGAACGAGCGGCTGGTGTGTGGTTGTGGCGACGAGGCTGCTTTGGGCAACAAAACAGGCTCAGTAGACGACTTCTTCCGCTGTCAAATTTGTCCCGAAGGTCACCAGAAGTGTGGAGGCACCGGCACCACCAGTATCTACCAGCTGGACTACAACAACCACACAACACCCACCACAACGGAAGCACCAACAACAACCACAGACTCAACCACGATATCAACCACAACACCCTCAGAAGACCCCGTTGTTGTGTATGTAGGGTGTTACAGGGAGGAGGGAATCAACACCACATTCATCACGCCTCTGTACCTGCGGCGATGGGATGGTGACGCCCTACAGTGTTTCAGGAACTGCACTAATGAGTACCCTCACCTGGACTACTACTTCTTAACACTAGTGAACGAGAACGAGTACTGCGCGTGTGGGTAAGTAACATTTCCGTAGTGGATATTATAGCGTCAAGTGAAGATTAGCCCCCCCCCCCAACACAACTTATCTAGCCTGATGAAGAAATACCCTGTTGCTACTTGGCGGGATGACTGGTTATGGTAGGTCAGGTTAAGTTGGGTGAAGTTAGGTTAGGCTAGATTCGTGTAGATTAGATTAGGTTATACTAATGTGTGATTGGGTTAAGTTAGGTTTGGGTAGATAAGGTAAGGTTAGATTAGGTAAGGTCAGAGTGGCGTTAGGTTAGGTTTAGTCAAGTAAGGTTTGGTTATCGTTAAGGTGGTTAATATTATGGTGAAATAAGCTGAGGTGTCTAGTCTTTACTCGTTCCTTTATATATTTCACCAGCGGTCCTCAGCTGCCGCTACACACTGGCCTCATGTTAGTGCCTTTGGTGGTAACTTATATACGTAACTCTTATTGCCACCTCACTTCACACTGGTATAAATACAGAACAACACACTTACTTACACTTTAATAATAAACAGCAGAGATTTACTTACACTGAACACTTAGCACCATTTAATGACACTTATATTCAGTGTCAAAAGACCTACTTGAAAAAAACAGATCACACAAACGAAAAATTTACTATATTGAAATTTTTAAAATTCGAAGATATTAACACCTACTGCTGTGCCCTCTTTGTTTACAAATCTATCAATCACTTGCTTGACAATAATTACTTCCAGTTCCGGAATAATCAGAGATACAACTTAAGGCACCCAGAGCTACTAAGACCACCCCCCATGCGCTCCTCTCAGTCCCAGACCTCCATAAAATATCATGGTGTGAAGGTGTGGAACAACTTACCCCCACCCATCCGAGCAAAGACTACGCTCCCTTCCTTTAAACCATCTCTAAAAAAATATCTATTGTCGAAGTATTAATATTTCTTGTAACACCTACTATATTTACAGTACTTGCTTTTATTGTACCACCAACTCCGTTTTATCGGAAATTATCATGTAAATAAATAAGTAATTACCATTGCAATACACATAATTGCCAACTAGACATAATCCTGAAAGCTCTGTCCTCTTGTTCAACCTTATTACTGTACAACCCAGGTTGTTTTTAAATTCCACTCTAATTTATGTATATGTATATATATCTTGATAAAATCACACGGGAAAAGGGAAACAACGGGGATTAACAAGGGTAAAATGGAAGATGTTCTGAAGCTCAGTAATAACGAAATAACTAGAACAAATGGCTTTAAATTAGATAAATTCCGATTCAGAAAGGATATAGGCAAGCACTGGTTTGGTAATAGAGTTGTGGATATGTGGAATAGGCTACCGAGTGCTATAGTAGGATCGGGGACGCTAGGGAGCTTCAAGACGAAGTTGGATAGGCACATGGAAGTGCTGGGATGGGTGTGAAAGGGATCTGCCCTGTATGGGCCAGTCGGCCTCCTGCAGTATCCCACTTTCCTATGTTCTTATGTAACATTATGAGATGTACTTATTACTACCAAGCTATTGTACTATTACAGATGATACTAAATGTTACATAATACTTCCTTGAGATAAATGTATAGTATATATCAGGTGCCTCAAAGAGAGCTCAGGTTCTCAACTGGCTCAGCCATGTTAATATTGTTATTATTATCCACTCTGTATCTGTATTTTTCTGGCTAAATAAACTGTTACAATTCAATTCACTATGTAAATAAGAATTACTTCACTAATCCACAGAAAAAAAATGTAGTCTCACGTCAAATTTCTTTTCGACAATCGTAGGTGTCAGTCGATACGATAATGAAGCCTTAGCATTCTATCTATATAATAATTAACGGTTGGTTGAAAGAATACGGCAGCAAAAAGGATGACAATGTACAATAAACAGAGACGATGAAAGTTACATATATGTGGAGTGGGTCACTTGATTGGCAAATAATATACAAGTGAAATTAGTGGTACATATATAATAACAAGGGAAGAGAGACATTTAACAGAGAATTTCAGCACCGTTACAATACAAGAATGAGGTGGGTGGGTGGGCCAAACACTGGTCAAGAAACAGACTACACACAATGCTCTTCTCAAAAGTGAGAATATAAATTCACAAAATGTCCATTTTTAAGAAAGTTTATCCTTAAATGACTTAAAAGCTGACATCATTCCTTAAATCCTTCTTTCAGGAGTGAGGAGGCCTTGAGGACGTTGAAGAAAGAGGGGGCCCAGGAACAGTGTAGACAAGTAGGAGGAGAGGGCCAGCACCTCTACTTTGGGGGACTTCACTCCTACGCCGTCTACAAGAGCAGTAGTTGGGCGGTGCATGTAACCCCCTCCTCTTTACTGCTGCTGTGTCTGTTGCGGCCCCTGCTAACGATGTAGAGTCTGTTGCGGCCCCTGCTAACGATGTAGAGTCTGTTGCGGCCCCTGCTAACGATGTAGAGTCTGTTGCGGCCCCTGCTACGAGAGTCTGTTGCGGCCCCTGCTGACGATGTAGAGTCTGTTGCGGCCCCTGCTGACGATGTAGAGTCTGTTGCGGCCCCTGCTGACGATGTAGAGTCTGTTGCGGCCCCTGCTGACGATGTAGAGTCTGTTGCGGCCCCTGCTGACGATGCAGAATCTGCTCCAACTCCCCACCCCTCTTTCCAATGGCACCCAATCACTTCGCCCTTCTCCCTGCACCCCCCATCTTAAAGACAAGTTAACATCATTACCATAACTTTCATAACCATAACGTGTTCAACTTTTAATCGTCCTCCCGGTAAACATGGAAAATGTGTTCATTTATAATCACAAGTTTTTATAAAGTTAAATAAAAACGGTTTTAAGCCTTTTAATACGATCCTTTGTAGCCTCTGCCTTTGTTAAACGTATTATTATTATTATTACTTTGGGTCTCGTCAAAGAAAAACACCTAACAGTTGAGTGATATATTGTATAATTAAAAAAAAATATCTCTTTGTTCATTATACACAAAGCCTTTCAGTGAATTATGGTAGAGTTCAAAGCTTCGAAACAAGTAACACCGTTCGAATTAGAGACCCTCACTACCAAACATAACAGGTTTCCCAGACTCTGGTTTCCCCATGTACTAACACTGGATAGAGCACCGCCTGAACGGCTGGTAAACTGATAACGAAGTGGTGAAAATTAGTTTAAGAAATCATTGTTCTTAACGACATAATAATTTAATAACAAAACTGTAAGACAATTATCGGGTATGAAATGTAACATAAGGTACTACTGTATACCGTGTTTATATAACTTATATGTGGAAGTGTGAGATTTATTTATATTTTACGTACAGTACACCCACGTACAGTGAGAGAGTGAAGTGGAACTTTGGAAAGGGGTCGCCAGTGACACCATTCACTGTGTTTGGGTAGTCACGTTTCATTATACTTTGGCCAAACCTGGGAACATACTTCATTCTCTCACTGTACATAAAAATGCAGTACCATTTATACGGTACAACACTTATGATTAAGAGACGCTGGCAATACCGTAAAGTACCGGTCCCATAGATGACGACGTTGTGGCCCGGCTCCAGCCTGTGAGAAGTGTACTGTACGCTAAGCCTGCCCTGACGCTGTGCAACTACGGGGGACATAGTTTCTCAAGCACGAGGAATTCACCAGCTTGAAATTCTCGCAACGGGAAATAAGTGACTTACAAGCAAAGTTGAACGGCATTGACAGCAACATAAGTAAATTTGCTGATGACACTAAAATAGGACGTGTTATCAAATCTGACGAGGACTCGGCAAAACTACAGGAAGATCTAAACAAATTTTTCGAATGGTCTGAAAAATGGCAGATGAAATTCAACGTCGACAAATGTAAAGTACTCAGTATAGGAGATGTAAACAGGGAAACCAGATACCAGATGAACAATGATGCCATAGAGAAATGCGACTGCGAGAGCGATTTAGGAGTAATGATAAGCAGGAACCTTAAGCCAAGTAAACAATGTGTTTTTGCTCGTAACAAGGCTAATAAAGTACTTGGGTTCATACAAAGGAGTGTTAGTTACAAGACTAGCGAGGTCATCCTAAAACTGTATCTTGCTCTTGTGAGACCACACCTGGATTACGCAGTTCAGTTCTGGTCACCGTATTACAGAATGGACATAGAATCCTTGGAAAGAATTCAGAGGAGAATGACAAGACTAATCCCGGGCATTAGGAACCTTGAGTATAGAGACAGGTTAAAGCATCTTAATTTGCACTCCCTTGAGAGACGTAGAGCGAGGGGCGACCTGATAGAGGTGTATAAGTGGAAGGCAGGGCTAAACAAAGGGGACATTACAAAGGTACTCAAACTATCCAACCAGGAGCGAACTCGTAACAATGGTTTTAAATTAGACAAATTTAGATTTAGGCGTGAAATAGGTAAACACTGGTTTGGAAACAGAGTAGTGGATGAATGGAACAAGTTACCAAATATCATCATTAACTCGAATACGCCGAATAGCTTCAAACATAGGTTGGATGCTCATATGAGCAATAGGGGTTGGGTGTAAACGGGACTGCCCAGTATGGGCCAATAGGCCCACTGCAGTTTCCTCCATTCTTATGTTCTTATGTAAACAAAGCTTGCGTGAGGGGGTTTAAGTTGGAGGCAGCAGCAACTCGCCTGGACGCAGCGAGGAGGTGGGAGGACGGAGTCAGGTGAGCGTCAGGTCAAGCGTGAGGTGCATGTTGGGTTGGGCAATGGTTTCTCAGTACTTGGTCGGCTTGATTGTGTGTGTTGTTTTCTTGTTTGGAGGAAATTGTCTTGGTCCTGGTCTTCTGTCTTGGTATTCTTGTTAGCTTGAAGTTGATTTTCTTCTTACTCTCCTCCTCCTCTTGCTCTCATAAAGTGTCCATTCATTCGTGTTTGGGTCTTGTTCTTCGTCTTCATCGTGTCTTAGGTTTTCGTAAGTGTGGATGAAGTCGGAGAGGGTGAGGTTGACCACGTGGGCTTCTGCTCCTGGGGCCTCGTGGTGTTCTTGATTCTTTGTGACGTGTGTCTTTTCTTGATTTTTCTTTTCTTCTGGCTTTTTCTTGTCTTGGGCGCATACAGCAAGGAGGGCCTCTTTGTAGCTCAGTTTCTTGTCAAGTCGAGCCTTGGCTATCCTGCATTCCTCCTTCCATTTGGGGCAGGTCCGATCGGCGGAGGAGTGTGGGCCGCCACAGGCAGCGCATTTTTTCACCGTGTTAGGGCAGACGGTGTAGCGGTGTCCGGGGCTGCCGCACAGGGAGCAGGTGTCCTCCTGCGCCTCACACTTGTTGACAGTGTGTCCGTAGTCCTGGCATTTGTAGCAGCGTTTCGGTCTGCAGTAGGGCTTGACTGGCACAGTTACCCACGCCAGTTGAGCCTCCTTGGGTAGGGCTGCATGGTGTCCGATGAGGGCAGTGGTGTCGGACAGCTTCTTGACAACTTGGAGTTGTCCCTCGAGGAGTTCGCTCAGTTCTGCTTGGTCCACGTGGGCAATTTCGGCGTGGGAGATTACTCCCAGCTTCAGGTTGTCCCATTTGTAGGCAATCATCTTTATTGGGATGCCGTTGATGTCGGGGATCTCCGCGAATTGTACGGGCATACCCTTCTCAGCGAAGGTGATCTTGATGTCGCGTACAGCCATACATACATAAAATGCTAGTGACAGGGGGGGAAGGAGGTTCAGGGGAAGGATAAAGGGAGGATTGAAGTGAATTTTAGGAGGAAAGAATAGGTGCAGTGGCTAAACACCGCTTGCGTGAGGGAGTTTAAGTTGGAGGCAGCAGCAACTCGCCTGCACGCGGCGAGGAGGCGGCAGGACAGAGTCAGGTTAGCGTCAGGTGCGTGTTGGGTTGGACCATGGTTTCTCAGTGCCTGGGTTTTCTTTTCTTGGTTTTTCTTTTCTACTGGTTTTTTCTTGTCTTGGGAGCGTACAGCAAGGAGGGCCTCTTTGTAGCTCAGTTTCTTGTCGAGTCGAGCCTTGGCTATCCTGCATTCCTCCTTCCATTTGGGGCAGGTCCGATTGGCGGAGGAGTGTGGGCCGCCACAGGCAGCGCACTTTTTTACTGTGTTGGGGCAGACGGTGTAGCGGTGTCCGGGGTTGCCACACAGGAAGCAGGTGTCCTCCTGCGCCTCACACTTGTTGACAGTGTGTCCGAAGTGCTGGCATTTGTAACAGCGTTTCGGTCTGCAGTAGGGCTTGACTGGCACAGTTACCCACCTTGGGTAAGGTTGTATGGTGTCCGATGAGGGCAGTGGTGTGGGACAGCTTCTTCACAACTTGGAGTTGCCCCTTGAGGAGCTCACTCAGCTCTGCTTGGTCCACGTGGGCAATTTCGGTATGGGAAATTACTCCCAGCTTCAGGTTGTCCCACTTGTAGGCAATCATTTTGAATGGAATGCCGTTGATGTCTGGGATCTCCAATTTCCTCGCTTTTCTTCTTGCACAATCCACCAACCCCAAGTCCCTCCAAATTCCACCATTATTCTTCAAGTCCAGTTCCTGCACCACCAATCTAAGCACCTGCATCAAGATTTCTTCATACTTTACTTCACCCATCGATCGATCGGCCAGCCAGCCTTCGCCGTGAACGGACCTCTCTTCAGACCCCTCACCGCCAAAGCAGCCAGACTTCTTTCTACTGTTGACGACCGGACCACAACTCGACCTCTCTGTCTACCACTGGACTTCCCAGAAACCCTGTTTGGGGCAACACCCCTTGTGGGCCTCCACCTTTGGAAAACGACCACGACTGTCACCGGACTACCTCACGAGCGTTCAGGATTGTTAACCCTAATTAGCCCTCCCCACGGGTAGAGTGAGTGACCCACACTCCCGCTGGAAGGCAGCTATTGATTGGCAGTACTGACGTGGTTTGGGGTCTTTCTCTCTTACTAAAATCCTTCCTTGCTAACCCTGGCCGAGGCACCTACTTTATTTAAGTATTCGTGCTAGAGCCCCTACAGTGGCGCACACCTCACAGCTGAGTGGGATTGTGTGTGTTCATTGGGGGTCGGGGAAAAACAGGCCGATCCCATAGTGACGACTGTGATCGTGCACTCACTCCACTGTGCGGGGGTTGTCTTTTGTAAAATCAAAGAAGGGCCTCCAATAACCTTCTACATGCACAGTGGCAGTAAATATAAGAATAAAGGTAAAAGATAAGAACAAACCTATTGATAAATCTAGGCTAATTACCCTCGCATATGTGGAACTAGGTGTGCCCTTCAATTGGGTACTCAACCTGAACGAAGGGTTTAAAGTCATTTGCCGAAATGAAAATGATGCAGACAAATTACTAACCTCTAAGGCGAAACAAATCCTTGATAAGAATGGATTAATCGTGGTCATGCCTCCCGAGCTAAGAGCCAGGAGATCTGTTTTCGTAACGAAACTAGATTCTCAAGTAGGAGGGCGAACGGCAGACTCTCTGAAGGCAGACATTGAAAATAACAACGAAGGACTTAAAGTGGAAGAAATAATTA